ACGGAAAAAAGCAAGAAAGGAATGGATGCACCCGATCATCTAACAGCAAATTCTTCCACTGATCCCTAAATAAAAAGAGGGTACAGTGAAAGAAGAATCAGAATAAAACGAAAGAGAGGACTCTAATTTCTTTTTGAAAATTTCATAGTAAGTTTCTTTCATGCTTTATCCTCTTGTGGTGAATGGGAAATAGGAACATATTAATAATCATAGAATCCTCAGATTGTTTAAAAGCAAATCAACGATAATATCTTGGTTTTGCAATATACACAGAGTTTTGAACACTAACTAAACACACGTACACACGCATACACACACACACACACACACACACACACACACACACACACACACACACACAAATAATACACTAATACACACATATAACATAATATGTAGGGTGATCTCCCCCCAAAAAAAACAACAACAAAACGACAGCAACTGTACCGCTTGCTTTGTTAATATTTTCCTCCACACTGAAGTTTTGCGTTTCGAATTTGTACACAACATTTGGAAGTCAAAAGGAATTTGTCTGATATTCATTTTTGATAAATCCACAGAATAGTTTTGCTCTACATAGCGCGTAAAAAAACAACCCATTTTCAGCTATATCCCCTTTTTTGTAGCATGACGCAGTAGTTCGCATTAGGCCTACCACTAAAAATCCCAACGATTGCGCCATATTGCAAATCACAGTTGTCTGACAGGCCAACAGGAGTTTGCAAATAGTTTTTCTCAAGTTTCTTTAGCCTGCTGAGATCACGGTTGAGATTAGTAAAGAGCAGAGAGCTCTTTGTATTGAACATGTCCTCCCCACCAACTCGTTTCGTAAGTTTCGCTCAAGGTACGGAAATAATGCTAAGGTGCCCTTACAGACTTCTTTGATGTCAAGCGTGTCGAGTCCAAAGGAGGACATATAGACAATTGGTTCTCGGAATTCCACAATTTAAACAATATTTGTTAACTCTGTAGGAGAAAAGAAACACTGTTTAAAAGTTACAGGGATGGAAAGATTAAATTTAACACATGAATTGAAAAGAACAAACCAATCATTCCATGACTTTCCTTACAAGATATTTTTAATTCTTAATATGTGAGGCAGCGTGGTGGAATCAGGCTCTCGTCAATTTTTGGGCATGTAGAGTTATAGTATTATCTTAAAGCTTGTTCACTTGACTTTATTTCGATGAAAAAAATACTCATTTATCTTGAATACAATTCGAGATATTTGCGAAAGAAAGAGGTCGGGGTCACTTGTTTTCAGAGATAAAATTAGTGAGACAATGGCCGCCAAAGATTAGTTATTTCCTTAACTTAAGAGTCTGTGGTAACTGAAAATTTACTTTTTTGTGCCTTTAATAAACGTTTTTCAGAAAAATCCACACAGAAATGAGTTCTTTAATAGGCAAAAATTTGATAAAAATTCACAAACCTGAGGAAAAATGCCAAATCTTCACTTTGATTATTTTGACGAGAGCCTGGTTCCACCATGCTGCCTCACATTTTGCATTTTTTGATGGTTTTTATAAACGCCATTTTCCGTTTTCAAAAGTAAGTTTCTTCTTTGCAAATTTTATGTCAAACAAATTCCTTTTGAATGAATTATATCTGTTCCAAATTACAACATTCTAGTACAAATTTTGTGCGAGATATTTAGAAAATGTTTGTACATTTTTTGGGGGATCACCCTGACAAACAGCCTGTGTCTGTCGTGTAGCGGTTAGGCACTTCGCTACGTAGAAGACTCGTGTTCAATTCCAGAGTAAGCAAGAATTTTAATCAAATATTTCGTTCTTTCTGTTTAGACGTTGTATCACTCTCTGCCAGGTTTGGCCCTGACAGGCAAGCGGGAGTCAAAAGAGAATCTCTGTGTGTGTGCATATATATATAATGTGTGTGTGTGTGTGTGTGTGTGTGTGTGTGTGTGTGTGAGAGAGAGAGAGAGAGAGAGAGAGAGAGAGAGAGAGAGAGAGAGAGAGAGATGGAAAGAGTTGTCGAAGGGAATGTTGGGGCGAAGGATGGGGTCGGCAGGTATAATTATGTTGTTAGATAATTGAGAAGAGATCATTAATCATGTAACGCCCGGTGTTGAAAAATAGTTTTTAGAGCACAAATTAAATTCATAGTGTAGCAACTTAGGCGTAGTTACACGACACCTGCGTGCAAAAGTAGTCCAGTTAAACGAATGTTTTATTATACATGCGCACAGGCGTACATAAGGCTTAGTTCACTACCTGACGTTCTGTCAAGTCTCCACAGTAGTTTACTTTGCTTTTCATCTACCCTTTCCAAGCTGTCATTCATTAAAAATAGTAACAATTCCCTCCTCCCCCCCCCAACCCCCCCCCCCATTAAAAAAGCGTACGTTAAAAAGGGGGAAAAAGAGAAATAACAACAACAACAACAACAACAACAACAACAACAACAACAACAACAACAACAACATCAATAGCAACAACAACAACAATCTCAACCTGACCTTATTTTTCTTTTGTTACAGGCTGCCCTCGGTGGAGCTCAGGGTAAGCTTATTGTTTTGTTTTTGTCACAAGTAAACTATATCACAATAATTAGCAACTGGTTTTTTCTTTTTTGGGTCCAAAAATTTCTGTCCAAAAATGTCTGACAAACTTTTAAATTTTACGTTCAAAGCCCTTGTCTTATCTGTACTCTACAGAAATCTGGCAGTTATAGCGGTATCTGTTGGGACTTCGTATCATTTTCCAAAATATTAGTTTGTGCTGGAAATACTTATTTGTAAAATGAATATTGTATTATCATTTACTCAACACAAAAAGATGTATAATTATTTTCTGATATATATATATACATATATGTATATATATATATATATATATATATATATGTGTGTGTGTGTGTGTGTGTGTGTGTGTGTGTGTGTGTGTGTGTGTGTGTGTGTGTGTGCATGTGTGTGTGTGTGTGTGTGTGTGTGTGTGCGTGTTTGTTGGTGTGTGTGTATGTGTGTGTGTGTGTGTGTGTGTGTGTGTGTGTGTGTGTGTGTGTGTGTGTGTTTGAATTATTGCATGAGTTATGGTGGTAGATCATGATTTATCCAACGAGTGAAATTGCCAAATTGTAAATACGAGTTTCAGTGAGTAAGTTCAACTGGCAATTTCAGAAATAAGATACAATTAAGAGGCTTGTTGTAATTACTCAATGAAATTTGTGATTACAACCTGGTAATAATAATAATAATAATAATAATAATAATAATAATAATAATAATATATTATATTATATACATATATATATATATATATATATATATATGTGTGTGTGTGTGTGTGTGTGTGTGTGTGTGTGTGTGTGTGTGTGTGTGTGTGTGTGTGTGTGCTGTGATAGTTGTTTAGTTATTTGTTGCATAATCGACTAGGCAGGTCATTCCATTGTTAGTGATATATATATATATATATATATATATATATATATATATATATATATATATATATATATATATATATATATATGACCTGCCTAGTCGATTATGCAACAAAGAACTAAACAGCTATCAAAGCACACGGGTACCCACTTGTAACATCATTCGAGTATTATATTGAGTTTGTGTTCATGATGTCATGTAGGCCTGGCTTACAGATTTTAACCCTCGAAATATGAAATTCAGTTGGAAACAAAAACAGTATCAATATGCTGAGACTTTTATAAAAAAACCGTGAAACGGCCATTGGTCGACTAACAGCTGGCGAGTCTGCTGAAGATGTGGCAGCTGTAACATTCTTGCATGTCTCAACCATCTATAGTCTATAGAACTGGTTTTGCGCCATCAATGCGACCAGTAATCTCCCCAAAGCCAGAAAGACCAAGGGCGGCAACTGCAGCTAAGGATAGCCTCTTGGTGCACCAATACTATCGTCTGGACAACACCGAATGGACAACTTGTTGACTTCATTACACAAAAACTAAGCAACGAAATGTCCTTATTTTTTGCACATGCCTCTGAATTCCTAAACAACTAAAAAATCTCGATTTCCGTGCATATGCGACAAATATAAAGAGGTGTTCTCTAATTAATCATAAGTATTTAATGACAGTCTGCCCATAGAATTTTTATTAGACCAAGAACGGTAGTTAAGTGTTAGTGTTAGATGTATTTTTTGGTTAATAAATCTATTTTCTTCTTCTTTTTTAAAAACTGACTGCATGAGCCGCAAGACTGAGTTGTTTTCAGTCCAGTGGTTTGAATGACAGTATGTTTATTTTGATTGCCTCTTTGTAATATACAATGAGTAAAATTTCTTTCATCTTCCGTCATTGAAATCGTATGCGTTTCAATATTTTGCTGTCGCTTTTTTTTTTTTTTAAAAAATTAATCACAATGTTTAGAGTACTTAATTTACAAACCCAAAAACGTTGCCTTAAAACGTCTGAACTATTTCTCCTAAGAAACTGATCGAGGCCCTCTCTTTTATTCTTTAACAAATCCCGAAAAAGGACAAGACATGCATGTGTAAAAAAAAAAGGGGG